CAACAACTGCATGAGATTGAATCTTTGGGTCTATAAGCATCCTTGCCAGTAGCTTCCTGTTGAGTTTGTGGTTCTTCCTGGGATTATTCAGAATTCCTGCACCAGATATACTGGTTACCATGGATATCCTATCATGTGTTTTGCAAAATGGTGTAAAACTTCCCAAAAATAACAAAAACAAAAACCCCCAACTAGTCAGACCAAAAATTTAGTTCCCTCTGGCTAATGGACTACTACTGATTTCAACAAAAACACACACACATGCATGCACGCACGCGTGCAAATGCACACACACAGTAGAGCTATGGTGGGTCTTTCATACTAGATGTATTAGCATTCCCAACTTAAAAAGATAATGCTATACCAGATGCTAGTATATATTTATCAGAAAATTGTTTTTGTTTAAAGATCATTGTACAGGAAATATAAGAAACTTTTTAAATGTCACAATTAAATAATTGCTGTCATTTTTCCCCTTTCTTAGAGGAATTAATCAGTTTCATCATGGAAACTATATATGTTGATTCCCCACATGAAACTATTTCCTGTACTGCTGTCCATAGCTGGAAAATATTACATGTTCAGAAGACTATTGGTCCTTTTGATCATAGCCGATTTTGTGAATATTTCTGAAACATTTTTCTCTGGTCAAAAAATCTAACTTTCACTTAATTACTACAATTTATGTTCTGATACACCATGTACATCTCAGATCTGATACATAAACTTGCGTTAGCAAATGGTGTTGCATATCATTGATAGTATTTGATGGTGCTCAGGCCTTAAAAAGGTTCTGAACAAGTAAGTAATGAATAAATCTCAGGAAGATAGCTATACTTGTGTAAATGTTGTACATAACTTTAAAGCACAAAACAATTATAATGTTGTCTGCTACAATTTACAAGGTCAAGGTCTCATTCAGCCAGAATATTAGTCATCATTACTCTTAATTCAGCCATTTTTTTTCTACAGCCTGTGGCCAAGTTTTATCATATATATTACATTCTTAAAAAATTGCTGTAAGTGCAGTGGTTATACTAGATGACTTGCAGCATGCATTATGATTTCAATATTCTGTATCAATATCAATCCAATGACAGAAGAATTAGCTAAAAGTTGCATTATATTTTTAATGTCTACTAAAGTTGAATAGGAATTCTCGTAAACCTTAGTAGTAAGCATTTGAATTGTTAAGAGACAGTTTTTGTGATAATGCAAAACCCAACCATGAAAAAGACACAAATCAGTTATGAAATAAGCCGATTTGAAAAAAAAAGCTGAACAATCATAAATTCCAACAGCAGCCTAAATCTTTTTTTATATGGTCTTCTTGACTTGAAAAAAAAAGCTGAAACCGTATAAGTGGAACTTTTTCACTTCTTATAAATATTATCCATCATTGTAACTTCAATCGTATTTTAGTTTTCAGTAATATTTACTTTCTTTAATATGTTTAAGAAGATACAATTTTCAAATCATTGTACTGAAAAATTAACACATTTGGTATCAGTAAAACTGAGACATAAATATACAAGTAGCTATTCCAAGCAAAATTCTTTAAGGAGTTTCCTGGCAGAGTTTTTGATATTTATTAGTAAACACAAATGTCAGTTGAATTTAGAAATTTCTTTGTCAGAATATTAATGTTTTTAACAATAACATTAAGTGGTCACCTCTTCGGTGGCCTAGTTGGCCTAGTGGTTAGAGTCTGTCTCAGAGGCTGCAAGTTTGAACTGCCACTGAGTCATAGCAAAGACTTATAAAAATGGTACTTACAGTTGCCATGCTAAGCACTTGGCATTAAGATAGGACTGGTTGGCCTAGTGTCATAAGAATGTGACTGGGTGGGACATCATGCTACATATCTGGGAATGCCCCATTAATAGACATCACTATAAACTGCCACATTGCAGATGTTTAAAAGATATGACTGAAAAATTGTTAAAGCTACATTATAAATCCAAATCACACACACACATATTATCAGTAAGTAAGAATTTCTGCTGAATGAAATGTATAGCAAACCATATGCCAGGAAGTAATGATTATTTATTCCATCAATTAGACCAATTAAGTACTGTATTAGTAGCTGGAATGCAGTCAAAAAATTACTTAAATTAATCCCATTTTTTTTCTTTCCATTTGACTGTTTGAATTAAATCATTCTTTGTATTTGGCTTTAAAATACTGAGAGATTTGCATTTAATTTACCACACTAATATTTAATTTACCACACTAATTCTGTTTTGTATGCATTTAATTTACTACACTAATTCTGTATTACTTACATTTAATTTACCACAGCAATTCTGTATTTTATGCATTTAATTTACCACAGTAATTCTGTATTACATCAATGTAATTTACCACACTAATTCTGTATTGCTTGCATTTAATTTACTACACTAATTCTGTATTACTTGCATTTAATTTACCACAGCAATTCTGTATTTTATGCATTTAATTTACCACAGTAATTCTGTATTACTTGCATTTAATTTACCATACTTATTCTGTATTACCATTACATGCATTTAATTTACCTCACTAATTCTGCAGTAGGTGCATTTAATTTACCACAGTAATTCTGTATTGCATGCATTTAATTTACCACACCAATTTTGTATTGCATGCATTTAATTTACCCTACTTATTCTGTATTACCATTACATGCATTTAATTTACCTCACTAATTCTGCAGTACGTGCATTTAATTTACCACAGTAATTCTGTATTACATGCATTTAATTTACCACAGTATTTGTTTTTACATGCATTTAATTTACCACACTAATTCTGTATCATATGCAATTAATTTACCACACTAATTCTGTATACATGTATACAACCTTCAATCAGTTGGAGTCATATATGTCAATGCCATGGTAATATTCACTAAGATGTCCTGAAGTTAAGGAATTGATCAGGGCCCAAGATGGATTGATCTGTGCCCAAGAAGGATTGACCTGGATCCAACAGGAATTGATCTGGGCCCAAGAGGGATTGACCTGGGCCCAAGAGGGATTGATCAGGGCTCAAGAGGGATCTGGGCCCAAGAGGGATTGATCAGGGCTCAAGAGGGATTGATCTGGGCCCAAGAGGGATTGACCTGGGTCCAACAGGAATTGATCTGGGCCCAAGAGGGATTGACCTGGGTCCAACAGGAATTGATCTGGGCCCAACCGAAACAATGTGAGACACTGGTAATGAGATAAAATTAAAATTATGGACATTCCTTAGCACTGTCACTCTTGACAGTTACATATGGTTGGTAGAGAACTTGTAGGGTTTAACAGCATTTTTCAGCACAAGATAGGCTATACATGGCAGACAGTATAAATGGTGGAGGAAGAATCCTGGAAAATCCAGGGAAGAATCACTGACTCATGAAAAGCTACTGGCAAGTTTTCTCACACACCCATGTTAGCTGAGCCTGAGATTCAAAACCAGCAGAGAGAGGTGAAATGGCAGTGATCCGGAATGATGAGTGCATTAGACCACTAAGCCACTTGGGGCCCCTAGTAGGACTTGTAAAGAAAAAGGTTAAATGCTAAACAGATTGATTGTAAGTAAGACAGGCATTTATAACACTCTGCAGCACAAGGCTTGTTGGCTACAAAAGGAAACTCTGGCTTGTCTCCATCCATTGTAGCCGGTCATTCAAGGCCCAAAGTATAACACTAGAAGAGCTCTTTATTAGCTCCTGCTTCAAGGACACATGTACATATACTAATGAAGTGTGCATGTGTATATAGAAAATTCTACTTAAAAAGCTCCAGAAAGGAACTTGTTTCTTCACATTCAAATGTCATTTTAAATATACTTTCAGCAAGAAAAAATATAGAAATGTGTATTTTACTTGATAAACACCACTGCTACTCTGTCAAAGGGCATGGGATATGATATTGTCTAAATAGAACAAGGGCAAAGTCCAAGGCTGATCCAGATTGCAGTTGTTTTTGTACTACATGTGGATCAAGGTTGTATTTTAGGATTATTTTGCAGAATGAGACTTGGGCAAAATGTCAGGTAATATAGTTTATTTTTCATGATGATTTTCATATCAATCTCAGTCTCATAGAAATATATTTAACATGATAGCAGCAGCAACAACAGCTATAACTAATGCTTGTTGTTGTTGTGGGGTTTAACGCCATTTTTCAGCACAGGAAAGGCTATACATGGCGGCCAGTATTAATGGTGCAGGAAGAAAACCAGGAAATCCCAATTCCCTGGAAAGAACCACCGACCCACGAGAAGCTACTGGCAAGCTCTCTCACATATCCACATAGACTCCTAGACTGAACCCACGCAGATAGAGGTGAGATGGCAGTGATCCATAAGGGACAGCGCTTTAGACCACTCGGCCACTCGTGGCCCCTTATAACTAATGCTAATACTACTACTAAACAACTTTCATAAAAAAGTGATCAAGAGTCAAGACCATGTTAATTGTACACAACATATTCTGATGAAGATGTTAGTTGTTTACAAGAGCATTAACCAGCAATGAAGGACTTATTGAAAATTTAGCAAGTCAAATTTTCCAGATTTCTATATAGAACATGTTGGAAAAAATTCCAGATTCTGTTAAATAAAATTCTTGATTGAATCCTTTAGTATTTAATACTAGTATAAGTAAAATTTGATATTTTTTTTACCATCATAATATAAACATGAAATTATTTTCTGTTGACAGTATATTGTTATGACTCTAATGGTCTTAAACCATTTAACAGAAAAATAGCACAGTCAACATATTTAGTAAAATTCAACAAAAATAATTTATTTTCCTCGAATACACAATTAAAAATTTAAATGAAACTTACAGTATTGTGAATTAATTCCAAAATAGTCCTATAAATTTCTATCACAAATACAAAAGTATAGAGTATTCAAAATGAATTCCAATGATGTTCCAAATTAATTCCAATCTTGATCATGCAAACGAGCCACTAACCTCAAATGTGTTCATGTTTCAACAGTCTTGGTGTATTAACTGCTCCAGTTGCCTAGTGGATAGAGTGCCCACCTCGAATGTGGGAGGTCGTGGGTTCAATTCCTGATGGGTCATACCAAAGACTTACAAAAATGGTACTAGCAGCTGCCACGCTTGACACTCTGCATTAAGAGGTTAATGTTAGGACTGGTCGGCCTGGTGTCAGGATAATGTGACTGGGTGGAACATCATGCTATATGTATGCGGCATGATGCCCCAGTGCTAGACATCACTATAAAATGCCACACTGCAAACATCATAGCCATATGACTGAAAAATTGTTAAAGCTATGTTAAAAATTATAAACACCACACCAGTCTTGGTGCATTAAAATCATATAATCCAGAGTGGCTTGAATGAATTCATGACAATTCCAAAACAATTGTTTAGTCCTAAAGCAATGAGCCCTTTGTATGCAATTCCATTGAATAATCAATACAAACAAATGTTTTCAGATCATAACTGAACACAACCTAAAGATAGATTCTACTAATCAGATGTTAAAATGGGAAGAGTAACTCTGCAGGTAACAACCCTAATATAACAACTTAAGACATGATAAGCTGACCTGGATGAGAGTCAAAATTTAATTTCTAGTACATTCTAAGTTGTAGTAAAGGTCAGGTCATTTACTGAAAGTTTAGAAAAGAATATGACAAACATCAGGTAGACCAGGTTTTTGCAAGGGTAAAACCATTGTCCTGAACTAAAATCCAAGTAAACATCATTACAAACAAAATATCTTTAAGTACAAACCTACAATCAGGGATAAAAATAGCTAATAGTTGTTTACAAAATGACACAATCTATAATCATAAAATCTTAAACACTATACTCGATATAATTTCATCAAGTTTCATTGCTTAAAATTGAAGCAGCTTGGTTCTAAGTGCTATTTTGTCAATATGACACCATCTTCTTAAAGGTAGGTCACTATCTTACCCCCCAAAAACATCAAATTTGTTTAACTACCTACTACTTACAACTACTATAATAATAATAATAATAATAATAATAATAATAATAATAATAATAATAATAATAATAATAACAACACTAGTAATATACATGATTCTTTCTATTTTGGGGACAAGGTTTATTTTTAGATTTAGGTGTATAGGATTCTTGTATTTTTCAGAGAACATGAACTATGTGAAGGACAGTGTCATGGAAACTATGCTTGCTTTTCAGCAGAATTAAACTCTGTGATAGGCAGTGGAGACTGTCCTTGACTTTCAATAAACTTAAGCTATGTGAAGGGCAGTGGAGACAGTCCTTGACTTTCAATAAACTTAAGCTATGTGATGGGCAGTGGAGACTGTCCTTGACTTTCAATAAACTTAAGCTATGTGAAGGGCAGTGGAGACAGTCCTTGACTTTCAATAAACTTAAGCTATGTGAAGGGCAGTGGAGACAGTCCTTGACTTTCAATAAACTTAAGCTATGTGAAGGGCAGTGGAGACAGTCCTTGACTTTCAATAAACTTAAGCTATGTGAAGGGCAGTGAAACTTAAGCTATGTGAAGGGCAGTGGAGACAGTCCTTGACTTTCAATAAACTTAAGCTATGTGAAGGGCAGTGGAGACAGTCCTTGACTTTCAATAAACTTAAGCTATGTGAAGGGCAGTGAAACTTAAGCTATGTGAAGGGCAGTGGAGACAGTCCTTGACTTTCAATAAACTTAAGCTATGTGAAGGGCAGTGGAGACAGTCCTTGACTTTCAATAAACTTAAGCTATGTGAAGGGCAGTGGAGACAGTCCTTGACTTTCAGTAAACTTAAGCTATGTGAAGGGTACTATCCTTGTACTACCAGGTTGAAAGGATTTAAAAGACAAGAACAGACTTAAATGTACTTTTATCCTTGCATTTCAAAGTTTGAGTTAAGAAATGTTTCCATTTTTTTCCTGCCCTTGAGAAAGAAAATTTGATATGGGTATTGATTTCTTTAATGTCATAATTTTATTTGCCCCTCCATGCTAAATGTGGAGATAAAAAAATATAGTTTTCCTGCATTAGACTGTAAATGTGTCCATCATTCTTTGGTTTTAAGATTTGATCAGCTTCGTAGGGATTGTGAGTACCCATGTTAAGCAGCTTGTGTTTCATAGAGTAAAACACCTGGTTATCAAAAGTAGGTCACTGTGACCTTGATATTATACTTCCTGAATGTTGTCCAGTTTTGTGCTAAAATAAATTTATCAAAGTTATTAACTGCATTAAGCTGGCACATACATGCCTCAAAAACCCTTTGAGTCTTTTAGGCATAGAACTTTCTATTTTGAGTGGACACTTGCTTTTATGCTTGCAGCCATTTGTAATGAATAAAATATATTTTTATGAAGATGCTGGCAGAACTTGACATTGTTTGGTGGCCAGACCAAATCATGATTTAATACATCATGTCTTTGTGTTACAACTCTGGTATTAAAATAAGCAATGATCGAAAACCAAAAAGTTTTATAAAATTGAAAATATAATTTATTTCTCTAAAATACAAAGCAAAAAAGTTAAAATATCTTACAGTATGGTGAATGAAATTCTGAGCTGACCTAAATGTTCTATCAGTTACAAAAGTATCAAATAATGAGTTCCAGTGGTATTCTGTAAAACCTCATTGAAATCTCGATATTTATTTGAAGTAGAGTGCAAAGCAAACTTGGAACATTATGAATTAATCTAAACAAGAATGATTCATCATTTTTTTATGTTAACTTAACAATCCATATATAAATTTGTATTTAAATATTAAATAAATAAGCATTACAAAAAATAATACACAATAATGATACTCATAACATTTGGCAGTTCAAAATGTCATTTTTTAAAATTTTTTGAGTATTCCAAGATGTGAGTAGAAAGGTTTACTTAGCAAGTAAAATATAAATTTGAGGGTCTACCTTGAGAATCATAATTTCACAACTATAAAAAAAAAATGACATCAGCACTAATTACCAGAATATATTATATTTTACACTAATTATGGCATATTCCTTTTTCATTTTTAAGAAATTGTCGTCTTTTCACGTGACCAATCTGGGACAAGCAGCACTTTTTCCTTTTTTCCACACAAAAACTATCTGTATTGATAAAAAATACACTAAAATTAAAAATTCAAAAAAGTCCAGCAGTCTTAGACATGTGTATAAAGAACTAATAGGGTAATTTCTATCCTTAAACATTTTTAAATTCAAGCCCTGACCTCAAATTGTGAGCTTAGTGTACATTTTCCACAGATTCTTAGTATGAATCAGCATAATATAAACACTGTGTTTACTGGTGCTTTGAACAGAAATGGAATTGGTGATATCAATCTTGTAGTCATGCATAATAAAAAACTACCATTTCATCCTTAGACTGATATAAGTTTTGAATTTCAGCCTCAGTTTAGACTGAAATAGCTGTTGAAATTAGCCTTAGTTTGGTATTTAAATCAGGCTGCAGTATTCTGTTATAACAACAGACTTCAATAGCTCATATCAGTTCATCAGCAAAAACTAAGCAACTTTTGTCCACAAACATATCTTGTGTCTTGATTTCCGACATGCTTACTTGCATCCTAGGCCAATGTAAAAAAAACTGCTGTTTTTATTTTTAAAAAAAGAAATGTTTAAAGTACAGATAAATTACAGTTGAAATAATAATGCCAATGCATAAAATAGCTCTATACTGTTTCATTTTTATTGTCACAAAAATAACATTGTGATTTGGTTATTACATTTTCTTATACATTCTTTATGCCTGATTGACTTTGCTGTCATCCCTGATATTGGTATCAGAATTGCACAGGGGAAGTCAAGCCATCATTGTCATTTAGTTCAATCAATTTGTTTGTATGATATCTAAATTCTAGTAACACCATGCAGATCATCTCTTTATTTTCACATTTATTCACACCAGGAAGTAATCTTGATTAATCAAAAACTTGTCACAAGGTTTGAGTGATAAAAGCATGTCTTAACAACTTATTAGATTTGCCTACTATTACATCTTTGGGGCTTGAATTGCATAAGAAGAAGTAAAACCCTATAAGCCTTCTGTAATCCAAAATATACATTTATGTCTCTAAAATATATGTCAATGCAAAAGATGTAAAAATAACTTATAGTATGATATGAATTCCTGGAATTTCCTAAAGGTAATGTCAGTTTCAAAGAAATACTCAAAAAGTATTCTGAATTAAATTAAAGTACTTGTGTGCTTGTGTGCTAGTACCACAAAAGAAACACTATTTTAAATCCAATGAAAGTTTAATGTCACAAATGTTCTTGAATGTTTCATGGTAATCCCGCAAAATTAATAAATATCTAAGTCCTTGTGTGGTTCACAGTAATTCAGTGAAGTTAATAAAATCCAAGTCCTTGAATAATTTCACAATAAGGTAATGTCTGCTTAGAATTAGTGTTTCAGTTCTGCAATTTCAACAAATAAATTATAAATAATCAAAATTCCTGCTTTGACTTACAATGCATGATAATGTTGTATATCTAATTCATTTATATGATCACTTGATACATAGCAAATAAACAAATCAAAACTACCAGAATATTTTTCCAGTATTTATTTTATATTGTAAAATACTTTAATAGTCACAATTGACTTTTTATACAGACAGGGCAATCTGACCTTTCTATATTACAAATATACTCTAGATCATGTGATGCTAATCTAACTTGCATTCAACATTCCTGTGGATATCATTGGCAACTGTTTAAACGAACATTTACAAACATTTATATGGCTCTTAGCCTTTAAGTAACCACCAGTAACTTGGTAACCTGACCCTGCTTTAGGAATAGAAATAGTAAATGTACTCTGTTTAATGAGAACAGAGCTAAAGATAGCAAATGATACTTGTGACTATTATTGTCAGCTTTTTCTAAGGAGTTGCCATGTTTACTTACACCCTCCTGGATTTTTTTCTGAAAGAGAGTGAAATTATGTAACCTGGAAAAAACTAAATTGCCCTAGAAACAGGATTGAATGTGTTTGTTGCCTTTTGAAACAGGCTCCAGAAAGATGTCAGAATTATTATTTTGTATACAGGCATTTCTCTTCTATTATACATAACATGGGAT